CGGCGGCTGTCACCGTGTCTACGAACACGACGGCGGCGAAACCGAAACCACGACAGCGACGGAGGCGGCGGCGGCGCTGACGGCGGCGGCGGCGAAGACCCGCGCCGCCGCCCAGTGGATCGAGTGCAAGCCCGCGGATCCTTCGATGGACGTTGCCGACTCGCCCTCCCAGGCCGCCGCCACTTGCGGGACGCGAAGGGGGCGGGGTAGGAGAAAGATGAGGATGATCGAGGATCAAAAGTCGAGAGGGTCGAGCTTTACTGGCAGCCCCTGGCCCCCTCCTCCACCTCCCCCTCCTCCTGCCGCTCTTGTTCAAGAGGCTTGCGCCGTTCCGCCACCCCCCAGAAGAGGCGGGGAGTCCCCGTGGGCTTTCTGGGTACTCTCGTGGGCGCCTTGGGAGCTTCTCTGGTGCCTGGCGGAGCCTCGGAGGGCCCGTTTCGGGGCCTCTTTCGGGCCTCCTGGGTCTTGGGGGCATCTTGGACCTATTGGGGGCCTCTTTGGGGCCGCTTGGGGGCGCCTTGGGGCCTTTGGGGGGGCCTCTGGGGGGGAAACATGTTTCGGAGTCCTATTGGGAATGCTCTTTGGGCGTCTCGAAGGCGTCTTAGGGCGTCTTGGAGCCATCGCGAGCGTCTTGGGCCAATCGTTCCGCGCTTCGGGACCGTCTTGGGGCCCTTTTGAGACAGCTGAAGGCTGATTTGGAAGCTCCAGAGTCCCTGGGGGTGCGCCGACGAGCCAGGATACCCCCCCTCCTCCCCCTAGCACGAAATTCTGGTCCCGGGGGGAGGGGGAAAGGGCGAGGAGGACAGCCAATCATCTCACAAGCCTTCACTGGCAACCCCCAGACCACCTCCTCCACCACCCCCTCCTTCTGCCGTTCTCGCTCCTGCTCGGCCCTCGTGGTGATGCCCCTGCTCCTGTGCCTGCTGCTGCTGCTCCTCAGGCTCCTCGCCCTCTCCCTCCCCCTCCCCCTGCGCTCGCCGAGGGGAACAACGGTCCCAGCGCCCTGACGCGAACCACGCCTGGAAAGGAGGAGGAGGAGGAGGAGGAGGAGGAGGAGGAGGAGGAGGAGGAGGAGGAGGAGGAGGGAGGAGGCGGAGGAGGGCGAGGAGGAAGGAGGAGGAGGAGGCGGCGGCGGCGGCGGCGGCGGAGGAGGAGGAGGAGGAGGAGGAGGGAGGAGGAGGGAGGAGGCGCCGAACGTGACTAAGAGCACAGTGCAGCCCGCGTCCCTCGCCGCCTTTCTCGCTGGCCCTCCCTGGCTGCATCGTCGGTTCGCCGTGCAACCTCACAGCACAAGCCCACAAGCCCCAGCACGGGCTGGTCCAGGACCAGGCGGAGGGCTTCTCCGAAGGGCTCAGGCGACCCGTCCTCCTCCTCCTCCTCCTACCTCCCTCCTCCTCCTCCTCCTCCTCCTCCTCCTCCTCCTCCTCCTCCTCCTCCTCCTCCTCCTCCTCCTCCTCCTCCTCCTCCTCCTTCCGTAGCCATTTTGGCTCAAGCCATTTTGGCTCAAGCCATTTTGGCTCAAGTAAAACATTTCCCAAGGCAGCTGGCCAGTCAGCCCCTTTTCTCACCCGAGGCCCCCCAGGTGCTGCCCAGCCAGGGGTCTCTGCGTTTCTCCTGAGCATTTTGCTCCACATCTTCATTCGCTCTCCTCCCATCTCCCAGCAGTGCATCAGCCATGGGACGCAAGGGAGACCAGGCCCGAAGACGACGTGGCCAGGAATCGCAAGAACGCTCATCTTCTACGAGAAGCTGCAGGCGCCGACGATCGTCATCATCCACCTCTCGTGAGCGCAGCAACTCTCGCAGCAGGAGTGCACGCAGTGAGAGGCCACCATCGTGGATGACCTCACTGATCAATGATATGAAGAGCGGCACGATGAAAGTTGACTCTCTTGAGAAATCCATACGTGAAGAGGTCGAAGCCATGCGCCACGACATTGCCAAGAACGTGACCTCCGTCAATGAGCTGAACAACCGCATGTTGAAAATTGAGGACACTCAGAATGGTATCATTACAGAAGCTGTCAATGCCGCTATTGGTGTCAAACTTGAGACGATCAATGCCGAGCTGAAGTTCCTGAAAGAGCAGCCTCCTCCATTAGTGGCTCCATCGTCCGCATCAAGTACTCGTTCAGGGACACCTCTTCCCCCATCGCCGCCCGCGATTGAGTGCGACCCGCTGGTGCGATTTGTGGGCACATTTCCTCGTCCTGTTCTCAAGAAGCTGAGAGAGAATTACTTTGCGTATCTCACTTCAACATATGGGCATCTGTTGCGCGATGCCAAGCCGTTTTATCACAATGTTAGTCAAACATATAAGATCACCTTTGCCACTGAGGTCGCCGCCAAACTCTTTCAGACTACGGTCAACGAGGATGGTATATACTGGACAGACCCGCGCACGAACGTGCGCCATCCACTACGTGTACGCATGGACCTCCCTGCGGACGTGAGGTCGAAGCAGCGCAGGGTCAGTGACATCTACATGCCACTCAAGAGCCTTCTCAAGGCCAGCGACCGCTGGACAGATGACATGAAGCTGGGGGTCAATGGCTTCAACACGGGCACGGTCCAACTGATCTCGAACGACGACGTCTGGGTGCTGGTGGACATTGCCCCCAACGTGCGCATGGGTGGCACTCAGTACGACCTGGTGCCCCAGCAGGAGAACCTCGACTACTTCAATGTCACCGCCGAGGCTTTCAACCGTATCTTGGAAGAGGCAGCCAAAGCCTCTTGAAGTGAAGTTCCAGGGCACCTTCGACACGACTTACAACCTGCAGATGGTGGTGCGCACGGGGAGATCTCTACACCCTCGTGTATGCTGTCTCAATCGGGTGCTTCTCCTGCTGGTGTGTCGGGTTCCTCCACTGAGCAGTCCTCTGAAGCGTGGGGCGCTTCGCAGGCCAGCTTTCCCTTCTTTTTTTGCAGGCGCCGAGAGCTGTCGTAACAGCGAGTTTTTTTTCAGCTCTCTCCTCCCTCCCCCTCCAAGCCATTCAGCATCCCTGGGAAGATTTCGATCGCGAGTTGGAATGTCCAGACTATCTTCGGGTCAGTCTTTACCAACCAATCCTTTCTTCGGGAAAAATATTCGAAGTTGCGCGGCCTTCTCGCTCGACATGAGGTTGTTGGTCTGCAAGAATCACACGGATCATTTGCGGATCTGGAACAGGTTCGGAGAGACTTTGAGACTCATGAGGTATTTGGGACCTTCTGCTCCTCTCCCTCTGCTGGTGGCACTCTCATCTTTGTCAAACGCTCGCTGATCGCCTCTTTCACGCATGTGGTGGAGCGTGTGGTGTATGCTGGCCGTGTTTTATGTATATCTCTCTTCAGCGGCTCTTCTTCCCTCCAACTCGTCAACGTGCACATTGTTCCTGATTGGTCTGGTCATGATACACGTATTGTACTCGAGCGTACTGGGCGTATTCTCCTTCCTCCCTCCACTAGTCTTGGATTTGTCTTCGGTGACATGAGTTTCATGGCATATGGGGAGTCCCACATGTATCTCGACACGGGCGCAGATGCCCCGACCACCAACCGTCTCGCTAGTACTTGTGCCACCGCCTTGCCCAGCCTTGCGGAAGTCGTGCGGGAGCATGACACTCGCAGAATGGAGCGGCTTTGTCGCCTTTCTTTTGCGCGTCTTGATAGGATATATACAACAATGAGCACTCAGGACGTTCTTGATCGTTGTCCTCGTTCTGGGACCGCCTGGCCTAGTACGAACTTATTGGCACCTTCTGATCATTGCCCTGTCTATTTATCTCTGAGTACCTGCCCCCCTGCTGGCCCTCTTCGGATCCCCACCTGGATTGCCACGCAGCATCACTTCTCGGACACGCTCGATTTGGTTCTTGACCCTGAGGCCCTTTCGGAGGATCTTTTCTTGAGGCTGGAGGAGTTCAAAGAGGTGATGAGGTTCGCGGCCCAGCAGGTGCGCTACTTTATCTCGGACAGGGGTGCTAAACATGAGGAGGAGACGGTTTCATGTATGCCCCTGGTCCTGCGTGGTGACCGCCTTGGGCGGTCCACTAAAATCCCGAAGGCTCCAGGGCTTCCCCCGTCTCCAGGACTTTTACTGTCCCCGCGCCTTTTCGTGGACCAACCGCCCAGGCTTCGATTCTCTGCTAGGATCCCTCATGTGCCGTCTTCTTCAAGCTCGAGAACAGTCTTTTCACCAGTCTGGCACTCATGGGGGTGCTGAGAATGATGCTCGAGCCGCTGCGAATATTGCCCGCGTTCGCAGGTTCAGTCTTGCTTGGCGCGCAAGTGGCAGGCAGATCTATTTGCCAGCTATGTCTGACCCTGCTGGCAACATTCATGAAGATGCTGACACTTGCGCGAAGCTTTTATGTGATCACTGGGGGCCTATCTTTAAAACTCGCCATGCTGATGAGAACGTGATTGCGAAACTCGTGCCCGTGCTCACCCCTATCCCTGCTGCTAATCATCCATACTCTGCCTATGATCAATGTCTCTATCCTTGGGTTCTTCCTGATCGCTGGTTTGAGCGGATTCTCATGAAAAAGCGTGATGCTACTCCTGGGACCGACGGCATTCCATACCCTGCCTGGAAGGCCTCTGGTGAGGCTGGGAGGAAACTTCTATACGAGCGTTATCTTCACCTCATGTCTGAGGCCACGGTGCCTCCTGGTTTCAACAATTGTTCAGCTGCTTTCTTACCCAAGGGCCAACTGCAGGGGGAGTGTACTATCGTGCGCCAGCCAGCCGCCACTCGCCCGCTCGCCCTCTCGAATTGCGATAGCGAGCTCCTCAGTTCGGCCATCGCCATTCCATTATCAAAGGTGGCGGAGGATATGGTGGAAGGGTCCCAGCGTGGTTTCATCCAGGGGAGGCAGCTCATAGATAATATAATAGAAATGGATTCAAACCTGGTGATATGGAGTGCTATGTATGACTGTCGGCGAACGGGAGCTGCTCTTTTCGATTTGAAAGCGGCTTTCCATCCATACACCGCACCTTTATTTGGGCTGCTCTCGCCGCTCTAGGTATCCCTGCTTTTGTTCGTAAAGCTCTCATGGCCATGTACTCTAATTGCGACATGTTCGTGGTTTTCGCTGGCTCCAACAAGCACTTCGTGTCGATCGAGCGAGGGGTCAAACAAGGGTGCCCCCTTAGTGGTACGATATTTAGCATTTGTTTCGATCCTATCA